CCCCAAAACCCCAAAACCCCATGCTCTCAGTTTAAGAAATAATATGAAAGAGGTAATGAGTTAGATGGATATGCTTGAAAATTTAAATTTCAAATTCAGATAAGTAGGATTCTATTTTAATAAAGCGGTTTAATCTCCTATAATTAATAACAAAATTTGAAAAAGATTCTTAGAGAGATGGACGGTAACATGGAAATTTACCAGCATGAGGACTTTGACTTCGACTCAATAGTCCTTAGAAGAGCAGATCCAGATGACTGCGACCAAATTATCAACTTAGTGGAAATCGGAAAAGACGATGTGTTCAACAGAGTCTACTCCTACCCAAAGATACTCAAACTCATTGAAACTGCCTATCTTGCCATCACTGTACTCGATAGAGAGGGTCACGTTGTAGCCTTTGCTGCCTTCGAAGATCATCCCTAGGTAAGAAATTTATTGAAAAACTCAGTTTATTAGGGTATGAGAGGTATGTACGATGACAGACATTACAACTGCTGGGAGCAATGGTTCAGAAAGGCCTTTGAAGTGCAAGAATTCTCAACATTCAACTCACTTTGGATGACCTACTTCATCGCTGGAGGATCTATCGGCTACAAAGACTAGAAATTCGCCTTCAAAAAGATCTTGCAAACAGTCTACACCTCACTTGCTGAGTCAATCGGTATTCTGTTCCTAATGAGTAAGAACAATTCTCTTTAAACTTTACTTAGGAGGTGATGCCGATGAAGAAGACGTTAATTACTGCTTCGATCCAATCAAAGACTTCTTCCAAGAGATCAACTGCACTCACAGGGAGGTCTTAAAGGATGTGAGAGGAGTCCACTTCAGTTCTAGAGTATTCTTCTCTTCAAGAGTGCTTGTGCTTCCATTCATCGAGATTCGTGATGCCAAATAAGAAGATCACGATGATCTTGCTGATGTCTTCAACTCTCAGTCAGAGACTGTAACTGAAGCCTATGGAGAGTACTTCATAGCTGAGCTTATTGCTGCTTAGAGTGATACTAACAAGGCTCTAGTCGCCTAAGTTAAGGATAAGGCTGTGGGTCTTATGGGACTTACAAGTGAGGTAGATGTAAAGTTGCTGCATCAATGCTTTGAACTTGACTCATTCGATAACTTGCTAAAACCAGAGTTCATGAATGCAGTAAGACAAAGAAGGGAACATATCTTAGAAGAGAGAAGAAAGCAAGCTGAAGAGCAAAGACTTCAAGAGCTTCAAAGACTGAAAGAAGAGACTATGAAATGCAATATCATTGCTCAAAGAATTTCTCTCCAGGAATTCTTGCTTGCCAGAGAGCAAGTAATCACTACTAAGATCGATGAGTATTTGAACAATGATGAAGAAGCTAAGAATCTAGACAGGAAAGCCGTTGAAGATATTATGGAGTAATGGCTTTCAGAATTCCACCTTACTCAACCCACTGAATACTTCTTGGAGCATCCAACTGATGACTACGAACTGGTATGCAACATTCAAAGTGAATAAGAATTCTTGATGACAACACTTGAGATCTTTGGACTTCCTGAAAGATATATTGATGGTAACGGCCATTTCCCAGACTGGGGTCAAGAAAAGAAGGACGATAGACTAGCTGCTGCTAGAAGAAGAGCATTAGCAAACAAGTAAAAGACCAAGAAGACTAATGCTGCCTTGAGTAAATTAAAGAGAGAAAGAGGACTTGATGTCAAGTAAGATACTGACTAAAAGCCAACTCACTTTGATCTCGGTCCATTCCTTAAAGCTCTTAAGAAGTTCTTAGGGTGCAATGGTGAAATGAGATCCAGATTAAGATCTCAACTCAGATAAGAGATGCATCTCATCAAGAAAATCTTTGTTGATGAATATGGCGAACCATCATTCAAGAAATGCGTAAACATCCAAGAGTTTGGAAAGAAGCTAAACGAAAAGGGTATTATGCTTGACCCATAAGTATCAGAAAATATCGGTGCCATCTTTATATGCTTCGGAGATATCTAATTCGAACTAAAGATGACTTATAGAATGCCAGAAGAATCCGAAGAGGAAAAGAGAGCTGCTGCTCTAAAAAAGATCAAGGAAGAGGAGGAAAAGAAGGCTGCTGCTGAAGGAGATACAAAAAAGAAGAAGCCCAAAGGTAATGATAAACCACCTGAAGAAGAGGAAAAGAAGGAAGAGTAAAAGAAGGAGCCACCCCAACCAATAAAAGTCTGGCTTTACTAGACTTCAATTCATGATTTACTCCTCAGTATTGACAAGATGGCTGACTACGACTATGTTCTCAGTGATCTTGGCATTATGAGAGCAGATTTAACTGATGAGAAAATTAAGCTGGCTGGAAAATTAGAGGGTAACCAAAGGTAAACTTTATAAGCAAGAGGAATAGGATCTCAAATGAGTTAGATGAATCAATCAGTTATCAACCTTCACAATGGAGTCTACAGCGATGATCAATTTTACAATGATATTGTTACCAACCTTGAAGACCTCGAGACTATTCCTGATCCCCCAGAAAAAGCCAAAAATGCTTTTGCTATCACTCTATTTTGTATGGAAGCAGCTTTTGATTCAAGATCTAAGGATTTCCTTAAATATGCCTTTGATAGATTCCCAGATAGAGATTACTTGATTGTTACTCAGCCACACACAGTTGCTGAAAACTCACTTCTGCAAAAATTCACATTGGTTCAAAAGAAATCTGAAAATACATTCTCTCACGTTCTCTACATCATTCATAGAGATTCTCTTATGGAATAAGATTTATATGTCGAGAGATCTGTTGCTTCTGATTTGGACAAAGTGAAGGATTTGATTGAAAATCTAGATGATAAGAAGCAAATCTATGATGCTGTTTATGAAGCTACTCTGAATCCAGATTCTCCATATCTCTCTTTCGTTACCAGAATTGATGATGAAGTGGTGGGAATATTTGTACTAGCAAAGGATATCAATTTAGATTACTATAAGTCTCACTTCCATATTCAAGACTCAATCTTGTTGAATGAGCATGAAAGAAAAGCTCACACTAGACTATTATACTCAGTTATCAATCCAATCTTTGAAAAATGTACTAGATACATCATTAAGGAGCTGCTCAGACTATCTGCAAACACCTGTCTCTACTTTGAGATCCACGATAGAACTGTTATTCCAAACATTTTCCACGAGTTGATTCATGTCAGATCCAGAAGATTCCCTCATTTCTTAGACAGAAAGTGGGATCACGAAAGATACACCCCAGATGAAGGTCAAGAAGAAGACAAGGACAAGACTATTAAAGCAGATGGACATGATAGAGACCCACAAGATGAGGTTGAGAGTCCCTTCGCCCTCTGTTTCACCACCAAGAGACTTCTAAGTGAACCAAAGATTGTAAAGAACTCCAGAATCGTAGTCGTAGGTGCAAGTGACACTGGTATTTCTTTCATTGAAGCTCTTTTATCAATCAGCTATCTTTCATTCTCTAACATTGTGCTTATTGCTCCAGGCGGACTCCCTCATCATCACTTTGATGAGAAAAAATTCAACTTAAAAGCCTATTCCACCAGTTACACTCATTAAGAGCTGAAGAGACTGATGCTTGAGACTAGAGTGAGAGTCATCAATGCTAGAATGGTTGATATTGATAGAAGCGACAAGAACATTATTCTTCACGATGAGACAATCATTCCATATGATACTTTAGTCCTAGCAATGGGAATTCAAGACAAGACATTAAACAGCCTCGGATACGTCTCCAGAGGTATTGCTCCACTTCCTAAGGACAAGAGGAGAGTAGAGGGATTATTATCAATTGATGATCCATACCTCTATCAGCATTTAAGACAAGGTGGAAATCTTATGAATGCACTTACCAACAGAAAGAAACCTCAAAACTGTGTTATCTATGGAAGAGGACTTCAGGCTTACTGCGCTATTCAAGGCTTAGTCTAAAGAGGAATGAGAGCAGAGCAGATAACTCTTGTGATCCCAGGATATAACTGCCATGTTAAGGACTCTTACGATGACGAAGATGAAATGATAGCAGATCTCCCATTCATTAACCCACCAGCCTTTGATGACGAGTACATTGAAAACAAGTTGCACAAAATGTTAGAAGGCAAGGGCATCAAGATCGTTAAGAATGCAGAGCTTCTTCAAATCCTCGAGGATGAGGAGAACAATCTTGAGTTCGTGCTATTCAAGTTGCTTGACATCCCAGATGAGGTTGAAGAGGATGATGAGCCTGAGGGTATTGACGAGAAATCAGAGCATGAATCAAGACTAGACGGCATGAATGGTGATGGAGATATGGGCGATGGAGACATTGAAAGATCTCAGCAAGAAGAGCAAGTAGTCCAAAAGAAGAAGAGAAAGAAGAATGAGCTTGAACTTCAGTGCAGAGTCTTGATCACTGCTGGCCACAGAGATGTGGACAACGATGTCTTCAATGCCATTCATAACAACGGTCTTGTCTATAATGGCAGATTGATTGTTGATAAGAACTTCTAAACTACTGATCCCTCAATCTTCGCAGCTGGATCTCTTTGTGAATTCTCAGGAAGATACAAAGCTCTAGCTTAAGGTAGACCACTAAGAATGGACAGATACAATGGTCGTGAAATGGGTTCAAGATTAGCCAAGAGTGTATTTGACATCTATGACCCAGCTTTGAATAACCAAGATCCAAGCAGCATGGAGGATGAGTTACCAACCTTCTATCTTCCATAAGGTCAAGGTGGTGTCTTGCCAAAGACTTTGATTTACTATCACATTAAGACTACTAACCCACTCATTCTCAAACCAGGCATTGTCGAGAGAAAGAATAGAAAGGACTTAGTCTGCGACAACCTCAAGGAAGACTCCTATATTGGTCACTTCATAAAGTTCACCTTCAACTCAATCGGTTTGATCGACTCAGTTACCTACATGGGCAGTGAGGAGGTGATCCTTCAAAGTCTCTGGGCATTCGTAGGACTTCATGAAAACTACTTGAACACTCTTACTGCTAGATACGAGCATGGCATCATTCCAAATGTGGCAGAATTCTTATCAGAAAACTGGGCAATTGCTCTTTACCACGAATGGTTCGGCGATTTCTGCTTGAGAATGAGACAGTCCATTCAGGGTCTTAAAGATGTCTAGATCATCTTAGAAAAGGCCTTTAATGGTACCAAGGATGGCGAGGGAATCAGCAGAGACACCTTCAAGGAACTCAAGAAGATGCTCGACAGCAAGACTGTCAAGATGATCGAGGATGAGACTCTTGAATTCATCAAGGTCAATATGAATCATCTTCCTATGTACTACATCCCAGGCGAGGAATTCCCTTGAAATATGACTCAATTTAACTGCTTCTCTTGAGCTTAAACTTAAATTACCATGTTAAACCTTGATTTCATAAACACATAAATAAATTTCTTATTTTCTCAATTTTGATTAAATAAAGAATAAAGGGGTTTTGGGGTTTTGGGGTTTTGGGG